AAGAAGAAACAGCAGCAAACCTGGCAGGTAATTTTAAAAAAAAGTTAGGCCTTATGTAAAGCCTATTTCAGCATCCTCCCTTGGGTTTCTTAACCCTATTTGCCCATCACTGCTAAGGAATGTTATAAAACACAAGCATAAAATACATTAAGAAGCTATTCCAGAACAGTTCCAGGGCAAAGTCAAGAAGCTCTGCACATCAACTGTTCCTCAGTGCATTCTCCCTTACAGCTATGGGTACTATAAAGCATCTCCTGTGGGCCTAACTGGTGGTGAAGGGAACAGGAGTAGCAGTAAAACCTCGAACTTCATTAAGTGGCAATGGTCCTTGTAAAACACTGAGAAGGTCAACACATGACAATTAATGACAAGGTCTTCGGGAGAATATAAAAATAGTCCTCTTGTCAAGTTAGCAGAGATTGGGCTTGCCACTGTTTTACAAGTAACAGGGGGAGAGATTACATTTCTGTGGACAGTATTTAGAAGAAAAGCACAACGTATTTCAGTCTGTCCAACTTTGTGGGAGCTGGATAAGGTTCCTTAAATAACTAGCTCTACGTTGTCAGTTAGAAGCAGCTATATACTAGCCATATGAACTGGAGCCTTCAGCATGTTATCAGAATTGCTACCAAAGAAATGCATATATTGAAAGCTACGTCTGCAATCTATTCCACATGTAGATAACAAAAGAATTCTTTTTAATGGTAATATATATTAATGGTAATATATGTTAAGCTTGCAGTAGTGGTTTCACAGCCCCTGGAATATAAAACAGTCTGGGTGTTTATAAGTGAACATATATAGTTTTCAGCATCCTGCTGCTTTCATGCAAATCTTTTTAAGTTCAATTTTTCGATCCAGTATTTTACATGTACCTTTGCTTTTTGATAAAATACATTTTTAAGCACAGTTGTGAAGGTTTTCCTTTTCCTGTGTAGTTTGTTGTTGCGTTACCGTCGTGCCCCGTTTACTATTCTCCAACAAAGGCTCATGTCGCATTCTCTCTTCACTGCCACCAGTGGATTACTTCAATCCACAATGTAAATGATGTATGTTTGAAGAGTTGTCATGTGAACAAAGCGGAACTTATTTATTGAAGGGAAGCATAATGAAAAATAACAGAAGTATTTCATCTGTTCAGTGTACACAAGCATTTCGTCATCAGTTCCCTCAGTACATAGTTTTTCTCACCTTACAGTCTCATTACCACTCTCTCTACCTATCTCCCTAACCAGCCCCTATCTGATTCCTCCTTCTCCAGCCAAGCCTCACGTGGCTGCTGACACCGCCTCTCCAGCCCTCTCATAGGTTCATGCAAATCAGCTCATGAATATGAGAGACATGAGTGACATGGGCGGTTGCCACATTTGTTTTTGGTGTTGTTACCTGTTTTCCTCAGCAGTAAGCTTGCCCCATTATGACTTCAATAGAGTTGGTGAAAATGTAGATTAAGAAAAATAAAATAAAACAAAAATTTATGTCTACTAGCTGGCTGGACAGCTCATTGGGCTAGGTATCTGGTTGCAGAGCTAGAAGTTGAGAATTCAATTCCCCACTGGGCCTCCTGGAAGAAGAGCCAGCCTGTGTGGGCAAACTGCACAGTCCCAGAAGTGCCCTCAGAAGGGAAGGGAAAACCACTTCTGTGTACTCTCTACCTGGGAAACCATGAAAAGGTCTAAATCCAATTGACTTGATGGCTCACAATTACTATTATTAGAAACAAACACAAAATATAGCAGCCTGAAGTCTGATTTAGCTATAGGCAGAAGACACTAAAGATATCTTATTTCATGGTAGACCCTAAGCATGAACAACTTTGGTTACATACCAGTGAGTAGCAATGAATTTGCTTCAACACCTCAGCAAGGCATAGGCATTCTGGCATGCAAGACTGAAGGTCTCTACTTACTTCCATAAATTCATATAATGGTACTACCTCCCGCCATCATTAAACAGCAGGAGCTTCAGATGATTTTGCGCCCTATAGACTGGGTGAGCATTCCACATCCCTTTCATACTCTAAATGTTTATTGTTAACAGTTGCATTTACAAAGCCAGCACTGGCAGAGGTTTCCCATACATGGGCACTGCTAGTCCTCATGTTACCTTGAGGTTCAGAGAATGACCTCCTTTCTCATGTTGTCATATTGAGATCTTGAACGCTTATAATAGTCAGTTCTCCACTACCCTGCCTCTAGTTTTATTCTCAACTACATTTGTGGAGAAGTTTGAAAAATTGTGTGTTATAAACATTTGCAGTGTATTGCATGCACACAGGTTGCTGAGGCAGTATTTAAAGGTTTAAAATATTAAAAGAAAACTTTGCAAAACAATCCTATGACTACTCAAAAGAAAGACACTGTATTCATTGGGCCATGCTTCCAGGTTAATTTCTAGCTTTGAGCCTTAGTCATTAATCTTCTGATATAGAGAACTGCTGCTCTTATTTTAGTAATAATAGCTATAAAAGATATGGGCTTATATCAAATCAATCTCCCTCATGCATGCAAGTTCTTGAGAAGCCTTCTACTGCATGAAGAGTTCTGTGCCACTCAAACTGTGTACTTGTATTTAAATGAGACCAATTAAAAGATATCACTTTACCTGCTAAGCCTACATACAGTATTAATGTTCAAAAAGGGAGCAACTAAGGTCACTCTGTTCCTTCCAGACTCATAAAACTTCTCTGCAGGCTGTCTTCTCTCCAAGAATATGATTGTGCTTGCATTTCTAAAAAGAAATGTGTCAGGGACCAACATATATAGAAAATGTACTTTTTGATGCACGTGTCCTATATTCTTAAATGGGGGAGGATTGTTCTTGTGATGGAAAGGTACTTCGCACAAGCTCAAGTTACCTATTGGTTCAAAGGATGGACTTCTTACAAGCACTGAGGATACAGACTTACTGGCAGGTATCAGAAACAGCAAGTTATGAGAAAATTCCTAAAAAAAAAAGCTAAGAAAAAAAGTCACAGTCAAAAGCAGCAAAACGCTTTGTTTGGGATGAACCCCGCTTCAATACACCCTCCTCATTGAAACTTGCAGGAGCTGGAATTTACTGTAAGAAGCCACACAAAACGTCTGCGCTTCTTCTGCCCCCTCTATTACCGCTCAACACTCCTTGAGGGAATGGGCTTAGGAACTGTAAGAAAATGAAGGCATATGCTAGAAGCACAATTAATGACTCAACTAATCATATTAGAACCATGTGAAACATGTGTTCCAGCTCTGTGTGCTCTGGCATACTGAAGGGCAACTATTTATGGGCCCGGCTGCAACTCAAGATTTATGGACGGGAGGAGGAGGGACCGACCATGCTGGTTTCAGTTACAGAGGCTGCCAGAGTAGCAACAGACCGTGGCTGCCATGCTACTAGCACAAAACTAGACCAATCAGAATTTGTTACCCTTGCACTGAAAATTTCTGAGCCATGAAGAAATGAAAATCTTGTCTTATTTCTTTGCTCTGTCCAATCTCAGGAACGTCCTTAGTGATTTAGGAAATGGTTGCTAGAGAAACCGCTGGCACTTATCTCTACCACTTTCATTCGCAAGGTGAATTCAGGCTTAAAGGGTTACTTCATTGCTGTGGCATCTAGTTCAGGTTTCTTCTTCCTGAGATAGAACAACCTACCTATGTAGAGGCATCCCTTTAAAGAAGGCTGAAGCAGTTTTATGCCTTCCTGTTGTTTTCCTGATGATTTTCACATTTTATGGCACTCTTGTCTCCCAGCATTAATTTTAGCTTTCTTTCTATACAATCAAATTGTATGCTGCTTTTCCAGATGGAAGTGTGGTTTATATGGTTTGAAAGTAATAACCACGGCTCTGCTGTTTAACCAGCATTGCCAAAACTGTGGAAAGGACAGTAGAATTGAATTTGAAGTGCGTTGGAGCTATCCCAAATAAATATAAAACATGTTTCAATTGTTTTATTTCACAGAGAAAAGCTTTAAAGCATTGAAGATACCAGCTGCCAAAAGAATAGGCTAGTGTCATCCTATCCTGCAGTGCAAATTCATTTTGTCTAAAAAAAGGAAGCAGCTGAGGACTTCAGCATTGGCCATGTATGGGAAATTTCTGCCAGTTTTGGCTTTGTAGCTGCAGCTGTTGGTAATAAGCATTTACAGTATGATGGGAATGTGGAAGACTCGCCCAGACAAGAGAGCAGAAACTATCTGAATCTCCTGCAGTTCAGTAAGGGTGGGAGGGAAAAGTGTCCAAAAAATCAGCTGAAGGGAATGATAGATGCTGCAGCTGTCAGGATGGAAAGAGTTAAAATATTCTACCAGTTAAGATATTCCAAGATCCATCCAGCATCTTGTTTGTACCTCTTAATAAACACCAGTGTTTTTGTCATTGTCATTACACTGCCCCATGCCTTACTACTGGACCTCTTGTAACACAAAATAGTTGTGAAGGGAGGATTTCCACTTGATACCTGCTGCAACCCAGAGGCTCCCAACAGGTCTCACGGTTGTGAGGGAAACGTTTCCACAACAGAGCCACACCTCTCAGGAAGGAGCTGGTGTTCCTATGCCTGCCACCAAACAATGAGCTCCTCGCATGTTACAGTAGCCACAAAAAGCCCCAGAATGCTTTTCAGCAGCCAGTACATTACTCTGTAAAGGTATGAAGTGGAACCCCTCCCTTTTTTTCCCATAGTTCCCAAGAAGGAGTGTTTTCTTCTCCTTTTTTCTTCTCTCCTGCCATTTTTTTAAAGGTCCAGTTTCAAAAGCAGCTGGCCAAGTTTGGGAGGCGCAGGACCTTTGTTTCCCTCACTGTAAGGAAAAGCCTCACTTGCTAATTTTTTCCTTATCGTAACACTGCTAAAAGTAGAGGAGCATTGGCACTGACACAAGTATCCGCCAACAAATAGATAAGGAACCAAGCACTTATTAGACCAATTATTTCACTGTTGGGTGGCTGAAGAGCTTTAACACTTCGCCACAAGCAGGCTGGGAGGCACCAGAGAGTTTCAGTAAAAACAAGCAATGAATCCTGGGATTTAGTAACTTTATTGATTTATATTATCCCTGATCAGCATCCTAGAGGTATTCCATGAAACACCAGAACCACTGAACTCCACTGCCACCTGCTGGAGGGGAAACATCATTCCTCTCTCTGAAGTTACTCCAGCAAACATTTGAGCAAGGGGTTTTCATTAGAATTACATTAAATCTGTTATAAATAATACATGTAGATGCTTCCAGGCAGAAGATATATAATAGTAGCTTATAAATGCCTTGAGAACTGAAGTAGTGTGTAGCCATAATTCCAAACAAGAGGATGTTTTTCAGGCTCTCACCACCAGAACGAGTCATGCAAGGGCACAACTGAAATATTAAAACAATGCCTACATACTATTTTCAACTTGCTTTTTCAAACACACTAGGATATCTGCGGACCCAAACATTTGGTGCCAGAGATTGTTTTATTTATTTATTTTACAAGAAAATACTGACTTCTAGAGGTGAAGTAATGCATAGATTATCAAAAAGCAGTCACAGTCAGCTTCCCTGGATAAAAGTAGCTGAAGAGACCCACATGCCAGCAGAACATGCTCACACCCTGAACAGATTGAAAGAAACTGTCTCCCAAAAGAAAGAACCCATTTGTAAAGGGTTAATTGCTAATGCAACAAGTACACATGGGTACAGCTACTGATCTGTAGGAGTACCATCAAGGCTTATATTGAGCTAAAAGAGGAACCCTGTCCCTTATTCTGGCAATCAGCGTCTGAGGCACAAATCCCACCTTCCATATTTTGGGAATGATGGCGTTTCATGGTTAAACTTGAGAAGCAAATTAGACGACAGGGTTAGTTTACACAGCATACTCTTACTCTGAATTCTCCACCCCTGAAAGTGATGTTTTAATTTATCCACTATATATTCAGAAAGAATACACAAGGTATTTGTCCAAAGCAGCTTTAACTGCGACATCTGTGACACTCGATGACCGGCAGATTAGTCTCACTGTGTTTCGAAAGCTTCAAATTAATTGTTCAAACAATCAGTGCTAAAATATATTGCCTAAAACTCCTGAGATTGCAACATTTTCATAGTGTGTGCCTCATACAGCATGTATTTGATCTTGCTGCCTATACCCAAATTCTGGGAACGGTGTCCTTTTTAAAAGTTTCCTATTACAAGGATAACTAGAAGATCTAAAATAATTAATGCTGGGATGAGATGAGAAAGCTACAGTGCAAACAGTGCCTCCCCAAAATTAATTGAAAAGAACACAGGAGTCAGATGCTAATATCTTTTCACTTTGTCTACCATTTGCTCAGCACCACATCATATCAGGGTTTCCCACACACACACACACCTGACGATGTGCAAAAAGGGCACTCTAGCATGTTCTGAAAATCTCCAGCCAGGGTCAAGCTAAAACCAGTCTGCTGTAAAGCAATGTGTCATGGACTACAGTTTATAAAACCATCCCATTGTACACTGCTATGCCACAGTAATATCTTTCAATTTTTTTTTTAAAAGCACAATGACAGGTCAGGATGTCCCACATGGTTGCCAAGAACTTAAATGCATTAATTTATTAATTAATAAATTTAGGGGCATATTTGTTGAAGCATTCTGCTTATTGGTGATGATGGGGCAAGAAGCAGTGACTGGAACCCTGGTATCAGAGGCAGGAATATGAGAGCTTAAGACAGGACTCTGGCACGTCCCCGTCATAGGTGTAGCTATACAATCTCTAAGAAAGGCATCACACAGGGAAGCATTTTTGCCATATCTACAAGATTCTTAAGAACTGTCCCACAGGTATCAAAAAAGAAGCAAGACAAAACAGGTGGATGTCACATAATGGTATCCTCCAAATAACATTAAAGAAATTGCAGCACTACCAGCAAAACTGGCAAGGTGGTTGTAGTTAAAACAAACAAACAAAATCCTCAAAGCAGTTACGTATAACAATATGCTATAAGTTTTTTAAATGCTCTAACAAAATAATAACTTTACTTGCTTTAAGAACCAGTTCTTTTTTTTGTAAATTCAAGCAATGCTTAGAATTAAAAAGGCTAACAGTTTTCAAAAGTAGGCCAGACACTGAAAACAATGTTGAAAACACTGATGACCCAAAAGATCTGGCATTGCTAACCAAGAATTGTGATGATGGCTTATTTAATTTGCCTTTTCAAAAGGAAAGGGAAGTGCAACAATCTTTATGTCAGTAACTCTTGGTTTGGAATTTAGAGTTCGAAAGCTGGGAATTTGGCCTTGGTTGGTACTAGCAAGTCAGCAAGGAAATATATTGTTCCAGCCATTCCTGAAGAGACAGAAGAGAGAAAACAGAAGTTATTCATTAAATTAAACTGCATATTGTGTTGTCTCCTTAGATTTAGGCTAACAGGTAAATATAGATCTTGCCAAGCCTGTACCTGTTTATTCAGCTTGGCTAGAACTGAGCAAGCCCACAAAGGAAGTCTGGCCATGTTTAGACCCACACCATGGTAAACGATTTTAGGGCTAAAGAAACCTTGATATTTCTAGGGAATGCTAATGAAAGCTAATTCAGCACAGTAGCTATGAGGCTGATCTTTAAAACAAGATGTCTAAGGTCCAAATTTTGTACCTGCCATGAATGTGCTTGAGGGACTCAAGATGAACCAGTTTCTCGAGCAGCATCCCTCTTTGCAATACAGGGTATAATCTGGGATATAATTCTCTTTACAGAAAAGATAGATCAGACTGAATGCACATAATATAAAACATGGACAGGCATGTTCTGGTGACCTAAAGGCCAACGTGCTGTCCCTAAAACCTATCATGGGTCACAGCACCCCTGAAACTGTGGGGAGGGAAGGAGGGGAAGGAAGAACAGCATCAAAAGAGGACGTGACTAGACACACACGTCTGGTTTCATGGAGGGGAGGTGGGGGTTAAGGGTAAAACAGCTGTCTCTACAGAAAAAGAAAATGCACTTTGGGGTTCAAAAATGCATCTGGGGTACTTTATATAAAGACAGCAATGACAACTTCTACTAATGGTGGTGGTGGAGGAAATGTAATCAGAGGCTAGGCTGGACGCCAATAGCAATGTGGTGATAGCAACAGATCAATACTTCTTTCAGTTCCTGAAAACCCAGATGGACAAATGACACCCATGGCTTCCCTTGCCTGCACCAGCCAGGCATGAGTAAGAGTCTACTGGTCAGGTGAGCCACTTAGGGCTTCACTAGTGGAGCAACAGAACCACAACCAAGGGGGGTAAGCCCTCTTAGCTCTACACTATTTTCTGCAAAATATGGCAATCCAGCAACAGTTCTTCAAGTGACTTGCTCAAGGTGCACAGACAGGTCTTTTTAAGCTCATATGCACTCCAGTCACCAGATGCAGAATTGGGGGAAGAAGAACATCTTCCACTTCTCCATCACAAACTATGTATAATTATGTACCAGTCAATTTTCTAGGTGTAAAGGTTTCAATTTCTAGGGATAGCACTCCTGTTTTCCAGAGCCACTTGGGGATTGTAACCCCGTCGGCCACAATCTCAGCTGGCCCCTCTCCCAGGAGGCACAGAGGGTAGATTCGAACTCCTGGCCTTCTACTGCAAAACAAGCCACTCCCAAACCACTGAGCAATACCAACTTACTACCTCATTAATCATTCATATTGCTGTCAGGCAGAACTGTCCACATTCTTGAACAGAGATTACCTTCAAAGAGAGAAAATGGCGTGTCTGGTGTCCGGCACCCATGCTGCCCATAACTCAAACACCATTCTGCAAACTAAACAAGGAAATGGTTAAAAAAAGTAATTCTGAAATGTGTTTTGGAAAATTACTTACCCTAGAAAAACAAATACCTAGTATCAATTTTCTGTATGTCATTGTTCCTTGTGGTCGGCTATGTGGACATGTTCCGTTAATTGAAACACATACAGACACATATATTTTAAGGCTATTTCATTTACTTATTGAGTGGGTATTCCAGTCTTCAGCATTAAGTGTCAACATATCCTGAGATAGCATGGACTCTGGGAATATTCAAAAGCTCAAACTGGTGCCATGATTTTGCAAGACCTTCCTAATTATTTCCTGAACTGCTATAGTCTCTTAAACATTCATAAAATAGACTAAATAAAATTAAATTCAAAACCAAATCACAACCACCACGCAGTCTACAACTCCCTAACCCTCAACACCATTTGTGGTCCCCCACGTGCAACAATCAATAGTTCAAAGTTTAATTTCATCAGGGAGATAATATGCCCTTCTCTTTCTCCAAAATTATTTTTTGTGATGCTTGAGTTATATGTACAGGGCAATCTGCTTCTATCTCACAAACTCTCTTTCCCTTGTGCCTTTCTCCCAGCTGCTGCTCACCTTGCAGGCTCTGTAGAGATATTTCATGTCTTGAGTGAGGTTATAGAGAGTCAGGAAGGCATATGCGTTGCCAGCTGTACCATGACACAGCCCATAACCTTTCTTCAGCAACCCCCACTGCCAGATCACTTCAGCACACTGCAAGGCATCGCTGAGGTACTTCTGCTCCCCAAACACCTGTGGAGACAAGCAGCCTTGCTTTATTACCAACAGCCCCCTTGCATCAGCCAAGGTTGGGACAGAGGCGTCTCAGTCATACTTTTGTTAATTAGCTCTTTTATCAAGGAGTGGCCTCTCCCTCGTTCACTTGGACAAGAGCGCCATGACTTTGCCATTTACCTTCAAAGATTTTTGGAGTGATAAATGGAAGGAGCACGGCCATTATTTTAAGTCACCACTGGCTGTCACCATTAGTCAGCCGCTACAGAACAGGACACATGGCCAACTCTCTGAGCAATAAGAATGTCCTGCCTTCAGGATGCATGACGGGGACATCTCCAGGAATCATTTGTAAAAGTCTAATTTCCATTTTAGTTGGTGGTGTAAAAATCATTGGATTTAAATATTATAACCTCCAAGCTGAGAGGGACAAAAGCTCACTAGCCTTCTTTGCTGGGATTATCCACCTCTTGTCAGAACACCACTTACCTTATATGCCTGGAGGAGCATGTAGATAACACCAGGGGCACCATGGCACCAATGAACAAGCAAATCTCTGTTGTCTTCAATGCACGGGGGGTAATTGCCTGATGGGAACTTCAGCAGGCAGACATAATCCACACTGGGCTTGACGACGTGATGCAGCTTTGCCTGACTCACACCAAGGCCCGGCTGGGACAGACAGATGGGCACATGGTTAAGTCAGAGATAAGATGACACTTTATTCAACTTTGAAGGCTGGCTTTAAAGATATAAAAAGCACCGCCTCTGGGGCATTGCCCCATTCCTTCAGTCTGTGGATGACAACTAGTTCGGCCATACACTAAAGATATTTAAGTGGAGCCTATATCACCGTGCATTTAAAAATATTTATAAACAGCCTCTGAATCACAGAGATTCATAAGACAGTAATAACTAAGCCATAAAACCTTTTTAACAGTAAACCAAATAAAACAGCAGAACTAGCAGTAGTACTGGAACATATAAAACAGAAAGGTATATTCTGCAGCAAATCTGTAAATCATCAGTAGAAAGGGAAGCTGGTGGATAGAAGAAGAGGTGGGGAAGAGCATTCCAGAGCCATGCTCCCAAGATAAGGATGACTCTGTTTCTTGTTGCTACAAACCTTACTCAAGAAAACACTCTTGAGTACAGCTTCTGAAGATTTAGGAGATTAAGCAGGTCCTGTTTCGGGTACCTCTGTCCAAGGTGTTAAGCTGCACCTTCTTGTTTATCTGGTCTATCATCTTTAACACAGATGGACAACACTAGCCCTCCAGATGTTTTTGGACTTCAGCCCCCATACTTTCTCATAACTGGCTAAGACTGATGGAAGCTGGAGGGACAAAAAGTCTGGAAAGCCACAGCTATCTCATATCTCTAATTGCCAGTACCTCTGAATAATTGGTTCTGCATGTGTGTTCCTGGAACAGCAACTTTACTGAAGGCTGATGCAGAAATTCTGGGTACCACACTGTGTTTGGAAACAGAGAATTCACTCACAACAGTGCCAGGATTGAACTAGATGGCAAAAAAGGTTCTAGCCAAACATCTAAGAGTTGGAATTTGGATCTGAGAGAATCTGGACTGGAGTGTCAGGAAATAAACCACATCCAAACAGGATAGAGGCACTAGCAAAGGGTGGTTTTTAGGGGTTGGGCTGGGCTGAACCTATGAAATAATGTCAGAGGTGCAGGAGGACTCCTTGATCCCATTTGGCACTGAAGGTGCAAGTTACCTCCCTGGCCCAGACAGCCATCTCTTCAGTTTCAGCTTGGTGAGACATATGTGGTCTCTGCCAAGCAGATAGGCTGGCTCCAGTCATTAGTGTTTTGGTAACCTCTAGATTAGACTAGTGTGTTTCACATGGGGCTGAACTGATAGCAGCTATTTCAAAGTGCAGCCATGAGGCTTTTGGGCTCAGGCATCTTGATCTTAGCACACCACAGCTAAGATCAAGAGACCATTTCTAGGCTTGTGCTGATGAGGCAATTAGAGCCCTCTGTTGCTTGGAACCAGAACCACCAAAGGCCCTACTGGTTCCACATGGGTGTGTCAATATGCTAGTATCTTTAGCAGTGATCCTTATCCGTGATCTTCAGACATATAAACGGAGCTCAGAAAAGTTACTTCCTTGGACAACAATCCCTGTGGACTGCTCTCCCCAACCTTGATCATCTGCTGCCTTTGCTGATGTGATTTAGGCACCAAAAGGAAGCCTTTTAATTTTGCCGGAAAACCTTTTCAAATATGTATCAATGTTTCATGCTGTTCTTTTTAGATTTTGGCTCTGGCTGCTTTAACTCTGAAGTGCTTTAAAATACTTTTACTGCACTTCCAGGTTGCAACTGTGACTGATCCGGGCAATGAATTTAACTGCAAAACAGAGAATCCATTTATTTCTGGCATATATTAAATATCTCTACCTTAGATACTGCCATAGTGAGACTGTAGGTTTCTGGCACTTGCAAAGAGACAATTTGTTTGGCCTTGGCTAAGAGATGAGCGCAAGATTTTCCAACAGTTCCAGAAAAGTGAGAATTGGGACTTCTCAACTCACCTGCATAAGATAATAATAAATCCCTGCCAGGCCATGGGCTGCTCCTACATAGTATTCCTGGTACCATTCATACATCAAGGGGCTTTTAGCTGTGAAGTTCCGCTTTTTGGCCAAGTTCTCACCAGATGCCAGAACTGCCTCACAGACCTGTGGAGGGGGAGGGGGGGAGATAAGAAATTGTTTATTTATTCATTTATCTTCTCACATGGATTCATCAAAGTTTACCAATGGTGGGGAAAGGTGAAAATGGACTAAGTACGTGTGGCAGCCATATAACACAAAGATCTTCTGCAGTGGGAGAGTCTGATGATTTCCTGGTAACCTCTTGGCTGCTGGAGATAATTTCTCTGAGTAAACATGTAGATAGGCAATTGCCACGCAAGGGCCATCAGAGGAATGGTGAAGAGCAAGGAACATTTTACACAGGAGAGGAACATACGTGAAAGTATGTCAGATTTGTAGTTTCCCAACATGCTAGTTACAGCAAGGAATCCGTATTTCCCTCACAGGGAGGAAGGATCAGAATGTCTAGTACATTTTAAAACTTTTTACATACATGGCATGTAGGCAATTGCCACGCAAGGGCCATCAGAGGAATGGTGAAGAGCAAGGAACATTTTACACAGGAGAGGAACATACGTGAAAGTATGTCAGATTTGTAGTTTCCCAACATGCTAGTTACAGCAAGGAATCCGTATTTCCCTCACAGGGAGGAAGGATCAGAATGTCTAGTACATTTTAAAACTTTTTACATACATGGCATGTGCATGTGTGTTCCCTCACAGGGAGGAAGGATCAGAATGTTTAGCACATTTTAAAACTGTTTACATACATGGCATGTGTGAACAGTCTCCGTTCTTTACACCCCATCAGCTCTGTGACAACTCGGCAGCACAAGTCTGTCTATGTATCATCATACTAGAGACAAGGTGAAAACGTGATGTGGGCACCTGATGTTGTCTAGCTGGTTTGTACTTGAGGGAGAGACTGGCCAGGAACCTCTTGGCTCACAAGGGGGTGCTCTTCTTTTTTCCACATAGTCAAAGCAATACCTTTAAGAGACTAAAGGGCACAGAGAATTGATATGAGGATTGAGGGTGCAGAAGAAAATGGGCACAGTACCTGATGAATATGGTTTTGAGGGATCTTTTCCTCTCCAAAATGTTTGTTCACAAACAGCAGAGCATACAGGTACCCCATACGTCCATATAGCATCTCATCGGGCACTCGTGGGTCAAGTTTTCGCAGATGTAACAAGCTTGAAAAGACAAACAATTTACGAGATGTGTTCAGACTTGTCCTACAAGCTGAGTGATACATTTTTTAAAAAAACTTATTTACACAGTTATGGAATCCCAAGACAGTCTTGTCTCCCATGCCTTGGCAGTGACTTTGAGATTGTACCCATAAGAGGTAATTGCACTGGCACGGTTTGCATAGTCAGTCCAAAAAAGAGAATGCAAAGGGCATGGTGGTGGCGGGAGGCTGTTTCTCCCCCAGAACGATGCCCACCATTTTTAAATGACCATTTGATCTTGGCAATCCATATCTCTGGGTGGGGCGGGGCAGGTGCGTCATTCTATTCAAGCAAAAGCTCGGAAAGAATCATAATCATAAGAGCCACACATAAGCACAGAGTTGTCCAAGGAACTTTTTTGTATTTCTACAATTTTGTAACACAAACACACACACACAATCTCCCTCTCTTTTGATAAATACTACATACATACACACACACACACACACACACACACACACACACACATACAATCTCCCTCTCTATTGGTAAATAGCTTTTTCTGGAGCACATTTTTACTTATTTATTATTTATTTAAAATATTTTTACCCAGCCTTTCTTTAAAAGGACCCAAGGCAGCATGCGTATACAGTACATAAGAGAACCACAGCTACAGCAGAGGAATTATTTTGAATTCTTGTAGGGCATTACATAAAGTTCCATGCAATTTTTGGCTTTGTGTTAGGATCAGTAGAGATTGACCTGTCAGGATGGATGGGGCTTCTATTCGCTCAAGGAGGTAAAACTGGAAAGTTCTGACTACTTGGACAACGGATCACATGTGAGCAGTCGGACCAAAGAAGAATCTGGCCATATTATTTGGAATCTTAGTGGCAATTTTTTTCCCTTTTAAACAGGTACATGTTGCTGTGTACACCCTTAATCATTGGGAAAATGGGGGGGGGACAGTAAGAAAGAATTGAGGGAGAATGGAATTTGCAGAAAGGAAAAGTGGACTCCACTAGAAGACTGCCAAACATAATAGGACACTACACCGGTTCCCAATGTCGGGTCTCCAGATGTTCTTGGACCGAAACTCCCAGAAGCCTTCACCACTAGCTGGGTTGGCCAGTATTTCTGGGAGTTGCAGGCTATTCTGCTTTAGGAAAAACTAATATTAAATGCCCAGTCACTCAAAATGAACAAAAATACACATACAGGTTTCGAACACCAGTTCTTTTGTAAGAACTGGAGTCACAGGAAACAGTTAATCAAAACATTGCTTTTATGAATTAAAATCATGTTAAATGCTAGAAAAGCAATTAAAATTAACAGCAGTTTTCAAATAAGCTGCCATTAAGAAGATGAGAATGATGGAGAGTTTGGGAAGGGACAAACAACAACAATTATATGCTGAATAAAATATATTTTGGATTGATGCTTTTAATAAAATCCTTCTTAGAACAAGAACATATTAGGCTTCTCGATTATTCTCCCTTCTATTGACTTTTAAAAGACTGCATCTGGTAAGTGTTAGACCAGGAATGTACAGGGTTCAGGAAAAAATGCTGTCTCCATAAGGACTCCTACAGCCTCTTCTTTGCCAACATGACAATACTGCAATGCTCTGCATCAACAATGCCACTAGATGGTGCTGCAGGATCAAGCTGGGTTCCTCCCTTTTAATACAAAGGAGATTAAGGGAGGGAAGGAACAAAGGAACAATTTCAGAAATGAAACAAAGGGGAGGGATGTGTCAATGTGAATATTGTTATGATAGAGAATGTGCTTCTGTCTCCAGTAATATCAGGCTCATGATTTTTTGTAAGCGCTGGAGTCATGTCAGGACGACAATATGCAAGCTGTCCTGCCCTCTGATGTTATTGCTAATGTTAAGATGTGATATTACAGCATGACAAACTGAATGCATGTCAAACAAAAGTAGGAAGGAGGGGGATAAGCAGAAGTGGTTGTGGAAGCAACAGAGAAATAAAAGTATACAAAAGGAATATCTGAATTCATGCGAATAACAATGAGAACAGGAAATATGAAATGCATGAGATATATAAAAAGAAGTTTCCCAAAATGTTACCCAGTTCAAAGTAAAATTAAAGTGTATTCAGCAATGTTCTATTAATAAAATGAACCTCATTTATGATTTGCAGTTTCTAGGAACATATCAATGAAGGACAACTACTGTACAATGTCTATTAATATCAACAGCTTTTGTACAGGCCTTAATAAACTGAAAAGATGCTGTGCACCAGCTGCATTCAGCTGACTTCAGCCCAGACTGCAAAAGCTTTTCTTAACACATTTTAAGCCAGCTTGGAGTCATATGCACATAATTCTCATTATGTCGACACAAGGGAGGTGGGAAGGGAATTTAAAGCAGAAGAGTACCTAGAGGATCTGAGAAAGAGTAAGGCTCACTCCATTTGCTTTTCTTCCCAACCCTTTCCTTCTATATTCTGTCTATTAAATTGTTAAAAGTTACTTTTTTAATTCATTAACTACCTCCAGTGTATTGGCAGAAAAGCAGTACATACAAAACAGAAAACAAATAATGATGGAACTTCCATCCATTCATCTGAATGACACCCACTCAAGATGGATTTGATTTCAAGACTTCTGTTTTGCCATAACCTTAATAAGTATTTTCCCACAGTGCCTATTTTTATTGTCTCCTGATGGAGATTGACTCCACTTCCAATAATGCTCAAATCATTGACACTTCAGGGCCTGCATGTGTGCAATTTTAGGGGAAAGTGGCTTCAAAAAATTCCCAAAATTACATCATATTGAGAGAAAAAAGTTCATGAATCACTTCACTAAGAGCTAGAAAAGAAAGCTCACATATTTTTTATTTCTCACCTCCATATATTGCTGTAAACAAGTATGGTATGTTTCCCTGGAGACAAAAGGCAGTTTGAGAACTGCAAATTGATATCTACTAGATGTAGTACTAGGGGAGATAGAAAGGTTATTTTTAATAATCTACACAGACACCTGTGGAATTCCATAAAATTGAGGCCCCAAACAAAGAACTCTTGGATCCTATTTTCAGAGTCTCATACATAGAATTAGAATTTATAATCCCTATTCCTCAATTAGATCTCTGAGCTACAACACAATTTAAATTAAAACTATCTTCACATAAGGCTTTATGAAAAAGAGAAGTATTTCAAAAATAAAAAAGGATTTAAATTTAAAAATCAGATTTAACAACCTTAATTTATTTTTAAAAAGGGCACTGATTTGTATCCACTGCGCACCCAAGACAGACTGACCAATTATTCAATTTTTCAGCACTGCATCCATTGTAGAACTAAACATATAGTTTGTCAAAATCAGTATTTTGAAAAAAATTTCACAGTACCTTGACAACTTAAAACTTTTGACAAATACCAGCTATGCAGCCGACAAAATATATGGCTTTGTTTCAGCTGACGTAATGGGAGGCTGTATGAAACTTTTGACAAATACCAGCTATGCAGCCAACAAAATATATGGCTTCAGCTGACGTAATGGGAGGCTGTATTCTGAAAAGATAGCTCAATGTATGTCCCTCCCTAACCAAGCCTACATTTTCATGAAAATGATATCCAAGAAGCCTCTTGATCTTCAGTCCAAATATTACAACATATCTACCCTGCCTGATATGCTCAGTGGTACCATAAAAGCAAACATCAGTGGGAATCAGATGATCCAATACTTTCCAGACATTACCGAGTGATGCAATCTTCTGCTTGCTTTTCACTGTGCAGCCTGTGGTACACAACAGCAGCCACTGCTAAAGGCCCAGCATCCCCACATAAGAAAGTGATGGAACGTTTGGTCAGACAACTCAGGCTCTTCTTTACATACTCCTGGGCCATCTGAAGGTAGGATGGGTCTCCATACACCTCATGTAAATGTAAGTACAGCAAAGCAATGCCTGCAAAGACATGTGAAAAAGACTGAAGATTAAGCCTCTGATGTTGCAGTTATGTAACAGTGAATGTTACACATTTAGCAATTGTTGACAATGGTGTGGGGATCTATCTATTTCATCCCTTTTTATCACACACAGTTTTGGAACCCCCAACATGAGCCATCAACATGCTGGATAACTGCCATCAAATTACATTTTCCAGCCTGTTCTCTATCACTAAAGTGAAGCAATGTAATTACTTTGCTCACAAGACTGGGGCAAATATAAATAGGATGAGCAGTGTAATGAGAACTGATGTAGTATAACACTAAAGAACAGTGATCTATGAATTATAAGGTTCATTGTTCTAAGCTCATTGGATCAGTTTTCTCCAACCTTGTCCCCTCACCTCTGGATCAAAACAAAGATATTTCCTCCCATTAACTTATTTCCCCTTCTAAAACAGAAATAATAATAATAATAAAATGAAATTTAATCAGATATCCCTGAGTCAGCAATTAGACTTGAAAATTAAGTCTGTGTTTATTGTCCAAACAACCAGCCACAAAGCATGATAAATGCAGGACAACAGCTGAGGAAAAACATGGGCTCTGATAGATAAGACTTTTTATAACTATTTTTGGAAACAAATACATTCTAAGCATATTGCCTAATTTGATCCTCTTGCCATTTACCATGCTGATTTGGACTGATGGGACACCAGTTTAAGGAAAGTTGCAATGTATAATCCTAGCTGTAGTGTAGAGTATAACCTCAGTCTCAAATCTGTGCTGTGGGAATAATCCTTCTAGCCAGATTTTATAAGGCTGTTATAGAGATTATAAAAACACCATGTACAAGATAATCTCTTGAACATGCTAGAAATGCTATATGAATGTTAAGTGTTACTTTTATGTACTAATTTACTCCATAAATTATATACCACAATGCTTTACAGTGGGACATTTTCCAGGTCCTTAACAAGTAATACCTCTCTTTTGAACCATGTACATAAAGAGTAACCAGACTGGAGTAGTCAGAGAAGAAGAAGCTAATGCTTAGAATAAGCCTAGCTGCTTTTTTCATTTAAATTGTAATGGAGAGCATTTAAGTAATAATAATTACAGTACATCCTGTCAAAGTCAATTCTGACTTAAGGCAACCCTTTTCAAAGTTTTCCTAGGTACACAGAAGGGGTTTACCATTCTGGTTGGGGGCACTCTGAGACTGTGTAGCCTGCCTAAGGCCACACAGGTTGGCTTTTCACCTACAAGACACAGAGGGAATCAAACTGCTGACTCAGTGCTCCAACCCACTGAGATATCCAGAGAGTTTAGCAAGGCCAAAAATGGCTTCAACAGTTCTTCAGTCAATGAGGGCTTCAACAGGAACTTAATGTATGATGAAGAAGTCACAGGAGATGTCAGGATTCTTCCTGTTTCCAATATGGAAACATGTAAAGGCATATAAATTAGCTTTCTGAGTCAGACTTGACACCAGTTCTGTCTCCATTGTGGACTAGGAGAGTTACACAAGTTGCCTCATCTCAGTCTACTTCTTCCAACTAAAAATGATGTGATAAATAACCTTGACCATAAAGTCACTGACAGAATTAAAACTGGTAAGCAGCAAATCTGATTGGCAAGACATACTAATTTTTTTAAAGTGACACCTCAAATATCCTCTAAAGCCAAAAGCAAGACAAGGATTTACCAGGGTGAAAACAGGGACTCTATCTCATTGCTAAAAATGTTATGAGCAATGGAAAGAAAATTAGCACGAAGAAAATCCCTGCGGCGTAGTGGTTAAACTGTAGTGTTACAGTCCAAGCTCTGCTCATGGTCAGCCTTTGATTCTGGCAGCTGGCTCGAGGTCAACTCTACCTTCCATCCTTCTGAGGTTGGTAAGTTGAGTACCCAGCTCAATGTGTAGCCTGCGTGATGTGCTTAAAGCACTATGAGGTTGTATATAAGCAGCACACTTTAATTCAAAACGTCTGTCACAGGGGACAAAGCACTGTCTCCTGAAAACTGACCTGAAGACATCATTGAAAACCTGAATGGTCCAAAGGCTTCCTCAAAGAGCCTCTTGGGTGCTGGTGGTCTGCATCCCTTCCCTATTTCTCAATTTATCCCTTATCATGCACTTTCCATCTCATTAACAATTTCTAAAACATACTCAGGTCTCTGCATTTAAGCCTAAATTAATAGAGCCAACGTTGGCAGATTGCAATGTAGTTAAAAGGACTGAAAGAAAAAGGAGCAGCCTTCAAAATTACTTTCCACTGTACTGGGGATAGTTTTAAATTTAGATCGTTTTCTCATTTTGCATGGGTAATCTCCAAAGCTTCACACCACAGACAATTCAATTCTGCATGTATATTAAGGGCAAATTTCCATTTCCCGCTGAAGTTAATAACCTTGTCCGCTCTCTAAGCAGTCTGAGTGTTAGCATTTCCAATGAGGGCAGCGCAGAGGTAGGCTCCCATCAGTCATGTCTGCCAGAAGTGTACACTACTTTTAAGGGAAAAAATGCCTTTTTTTGGGAAGCCAGACAACTTTCCAGGAAAGAGTTAACACCACATCACCCAGATCTCTCATAGACAAGAATGTAATGAGCTCCTTGCTTATTTACTTAGGCAGCGTAAGAACTGCCTTTGGAAAAAAAATCTCTCTATATGCAAAAGGCTTTTTTCCTGATCCAGAAAGAGTACTGTGACTATATTGAAATTTCATTATTTGGCACTTCAAAAGATTGGGAGAAATGGTTTTGATAACTGCATTTCCTTCCTTAGAAGCACTGGGGGGTGGGTGATCACACCTGACTCTCCTGGCCTCTTGTGAGTGAAGAAGCAAGCACTCCTTGTGTCCTATGTTCTGTACTTTTGATCTGCCAGAGCAGATTTATTGACAGAGTTACTGAAAAAATAAAAGGGGGGGGGAGCCGAGAGAGATAATCACAGCAATTCAAGCCACACAGACCCCAAGGCTTCAAGCTTCACCTTGGGTTCAGCAGAAGATGAACACATGTGTCATTTGTGTGTGTAAAACTGAAAAAAAAATTACAGGGTGTGAACTGAGACATCAAGAACAGAGGGAGGTAATGTGAACAGCCATTTAATGGCAGGGAAATAGGAACAGGGATCCCCAAAACTGAGGGTGTTCAAAGACCTGATAACTGGAACATCCACCAGATCTTCTTGTTTTCAGAGTCAGCAGCTGAAATCTTTCAGACTTGCAATCAAACCTTTTAATTACGCTGGATTTAGCTGATGCATCATTACATTCTGCACTGGTGGTCTCAACAATCATACGTTTAGAAGTTCACTTGCTTTCTTCTTGTCTTTTGGTTTTAAACAGCCTCATTCTCATGCAATAGCATGGAGCACGAACACAGAAAGAACAATAGTTACCCCCATTGTAACTACTACACCAAGAGGATCTATCCAAATGTTATACTCCACCCTAAACATTTTTGTGCAGCAGCTGATTAACTGGTTCAAACAGGACTGTACAAAACCATATGGGTAAGATGGAACTCATTACAGCCATAATTTAGCATTTGTCTGAAGGAAAGGGGCAAAAGATAAAATCACTTCATTAAAATAGGAAACCAAACAGATTTTTTGTTTAAGATGCAAATAGGATTTGCCACCTGCAATCATAACTTGGCAGGAGAAGAAACAACTTTTGTATGTACATATTTAGGCTTCCTCCCTTATGCAAACATTCAATTTGCTGCTTTATAGATAAAGTGAACTGGTCTAATAATTCCTAATCCTCCAAGAAAGCATACAAAATAGGAGAGAACAAGGCAAAAATTAACCTTCACCTCTGTGGGAAAAATGCTTCCAAACCTCAACCCCAGTGTATGCAAAAGCATGAATAGCAAATGTCAGCCTTGTACAGAACTGTATGGGAAGGAGCCGTAACCATCCCTTCCCAGTATCTCTTATTAGCTGCCACATGAGTGCCAATTGATTTCAGATTGTCAGGAGATTATCTACATGATGAGATACTCAACAAGCCTTTCCTGCAGAAGCAATTAAGATGGAACACTCGCGCTTCAGCCCGATTAATTTCTTCTAACCTGAAACACACTGAATAAATTAACAAAGCTAGGATATCCAGGGGTAGGGATGGTGAGCAGGCAAGTTTTAAAATAGCAACACATTCAGTTGCTATGACCCAGAGAAATCCTTCAGAGACTTATTCTCAATTCCAATTGTGTCAGACAAGCTGGTAAAAGTTCAGAACTCAGAAGGGGTGGGGGAGAGGAAAAGCAGCATTAAGGCAAATTTCTGCCTAACACAAATGTGTTGGGTTTGGAACTCAAATTCTGGTAGCAGAGTGGATTTGATTTAAATCAACATATTTTAATCATGATTTAAATTTTAAAAATCAGAATTTTTTACAATTTAAATATTTTAAAAATGTTTTTTTTAAATTTAAGTTGTGATTTAAACCAATTTGACTTTTCTATTAAAAAAACAACCACACACATTGATTTTATCTACCCTGTCTGGTGGCTGAGCAGTACTTCCACCCATATGTGACTAATGCATAAAGGATGATGTACAGTGGTGCCTCGCACAACGATGTTAATTGGTTAAAAAAAAAACACCGTTCTGTGAAACATCGTTCTGTGAAACACCATTTCCCATAGGAATGCATTGAAAACCGGTTAATCCGTTTCCCCATAGGAAACATCGTTGAGGGAAACGTGGTTCCGCAATTGAAATGCATTGAAGCCGACTCAATGCATTTGAATGGGTTTGCGAAGTCCCTTTTCGCTCCTGTAAAAGTGCCTTAAACTGATTGAAAAGTGTTTTAAATGCGTGCTATCGTTAGCCCACCTTCTGAAACCTATGCAAACTTAATTTGGTGTTGTTCTGAGTCTTTGTTAATTTTTGGTGAGTTTTTGTTTTTTCTCTCATTGAAATGCATTGGACGGACAGTTCAATAGAGTTCAATGAGAGAAAAAACAAAAAATCACCAAAAATTAACAAAGACTCAGAACAACACCAAATTAAGTTTGCATAGGTTTCCGGAGGTGGGCTAACGATAGCAAGCATTTAAAACACTTTTCAAACAGTTTAAGGCATTTTTACAGGAGCGAAAAGGGACATCGTTGTGCGAAATTTCCCCATAGGAAACATCGTTGTGTGAGGTGGCAAATTTTTAATGAAAAGCCATCATTGTGTGAATTCATCGTTGTGTGAGGCACTCGTTGTGCGAGGCACCACTGTACTAGCAAACCTATTTACACTCCACATGGCGGGAAAAAAATGTCACTCCCATTTTTTACACATTGCTTAAAAACAACAACAACCCTCACATTTTGTCTTCAAAAAACGGCTATGCAGGCGCATAAATGCAAACTCTGCCTTTTGCATGAGCTCATCCAATGCATTTAAAGCTACTATTTCAGGCTGAGTGATCAGCCACATTCATCTATGATATTAACAGGTTTAAATTTTGACCAACTTAAATAAAATATGTGCTTGGTAACTATTTGAGATGTTTTTAAAAATAATTTTCAATGTTAAGTATTTAAATACTGTATCTCCTTTAACTCACTGGAGAAAGGGTGAAATATAAAGGAAATATAAAGGATCAAGAAAACAGACTCGCCAAAGAGACCATAAGAAGAGACATGAATCTTGTGCAGTATTCCTATTTGCCCATGGGTAGGCCATAAACAGGACACAAGCATGACACTTTCCAGCTTTTACCTGCCAATAACTGATGTATTCAGTTGTACTGCCCTTAGTATTGGCCAGTAAGCTGAAGTCATGAGATGATTGGAATACTTTCAGGAACAACCCAAATTTGGACTCAATTCTATATTATTTGGGGGCATGTGAATAGTGGGTGGGCAGACAGGGGAGTTTATAACCTAGCCCGTGTTGTCAAAAAAAAAAATGAAGTAAAGTGATATATATGGATGCAATTCCTGGAATTGCCACATCTGCCATTTCTTAAGTCCTGTTTTATAGTTCTGCCCCACAAAATTATTGGTGTGGTTATAAGGGAGATGCAAGCCTTTCCCCATCATCGTCTAGCTCACATGAACAGTGACAGAGCACAGGAAGAGCGGTTTACTCCCCACATATAGACTTTATCAGGATGCAGGACAATTTTCTTCAGAAATGTTGCTGCTTGCATGAGCAAAGCAGTGAGGAAGAGCGATGGGGCTCAGTTCTCTCCTGTTACTGGCTTGATGATTCTGGACAAAATGACTGAATAGGATTTTAACCTTACCAGCAACTGAATGCAATCCACTCAGCTGCAACAAGATCTTTGACTTCAACTCATTTTTACTCACTTGTCAGAGTACAGAAGGCTTTACCATTCTCCTTTGGCTACTGTAACCCTGATTTTGATTTGGGGTCAAACCTCACATCACTTACTAACGAGTCATGCCATCTCATCTGTCCTTTTCCATTTAGAAGCTGGGGACAGAACACACTAGCCAGCTTATACAAGTGGGTTGTTCCTAATGCTTGTTAGTCACTGGGCTTCTCACAAAGAATTTTGAAGCTATCTATCATTTGGTAATCATGTGAAAGCTAAAACCCACAAAGTCCCCTGAGGGAGTTCTGGAAATTGTAACTAGAAAATAATATAACTACTATTTTGTACGTTCTACCAGCAACACACTTCTTCCATTATTCAGGGAAAGAATCACTTAACATAGATACATTTTGTGTTGTCCCTTCCTTTATGAGGCATAAAACAAATCAGATCAGAACAATTCTGGTTGTTTTTACTGTTTCTACAGTATGTAACTCCACTCATACCACTCCTGTTCTAAAGCACCAGGCATGCTATTTTCTGGAGGAAATCTGTTACTCACCCAATGCCACAGAGTGTCTCTGAGCCAGGAATAAATTTTAAAATAAAGGACATGGATGTTGGCTGGATAAGGTCAGTGAGTTAGGTCAGTGGTTCTTAACCTTTGTTACTCAGGTGTTTTTAAATGGCAACTCCCAGAAACCCCAGCCAGCAGAGCTGATGGTGAAGGCTTCTGGGAGTTGCAGTTCAAGAACACCTGAGTAACAAAGGTTAAGAACCACTGAGTTAGGTATCTGGCTATGGAGCCAGAGGTTGGAAATTCAATACCCCACTATACCTTCTGTGAGAAGAGCCAGCCTATGTGGCCTCGGGCAAGCAGCACAGTCCTAGCATGGCCCCAAAAGAAGGGAATGGCAATCTACGTCTGAGTATTGTCTACCTAGAAGACCCTGACTTGATGACACACTATTATTATCAATTTATTTATATAGAGCCATTAATATCTCTGGTGCTTCAGAACAGGTTGGTAAACATATGGCCTTACAGAGGCTGTTACATTGTAACTCTCACAATCTTTCACTATAGACTAATGTGGCTGGAGCTCATGGGAAATTCAATCCAACAAAAGTTGGAGGAACATAACATTTTTGGACTATGCTTTACATACTAACAAGAAGGTGGGTCCTGATCCCAATCTGAAACAACAGACAAAATGAGGGAGAGAAGGGGATCAGGGGAATATTGTGTGTTCCCTGCAGTATATATATATACACATCCCTTTCTAACAAAGTTTTTGTATCAATTCTGTCTCCTTTTTACAGCCCAAAATCAGTAAAAACAGAAAACACCCACCGTCCCTCACAAATTATAATTACCGTATTTTTCCTTGTATAAGACGCCCCCATGTATAAGACACCCCACTTTTCTAACCTAAAATTAAGAAATCTAAGTGGGGCTTAGCAAGTGGAGGGGAAAGCAGGGATCAAAGCTGTGCAGGATCACTTTGATCCCTGCTTTCCCCTCCACTTATTTTTGTTCTGTCCTCAGTTTACTTCCGTGTATAAGACAACCCTCAATTTTTAGTCTAAAAATTTTAGACAAAAGTAGTCTTATACATGGAAAAATACGGTACATCCCACTGTACTTTCTAAACATTCAGTGTGACATATTTATTTAGTTACTTATTTGATTTTTACCCCGCCCCTCTAGACGTTTACTCGGGGTGGCTTATATAGGTTAAAACACATTAAAATAAACATATATAATACAATTATTACATACTAGTCCTGGGAACCTGTGGAAGGGTGTTTCGTGGTGAGATACAGATCTGATCTAACACAGCAATATAAAAGATGGTGGATGTCCTCCAGCCATCCTCCAGATCAGTGGCTCCAAACCTTGGGTGACCCAGGTGTTCTTGGGCTGCAACTCCCAGAAACCCCCGCCAGTGGTGAAGGGTTCTGGGATTTGTAATCCAATGACACCTGGGTTACTAAATGTGGGGAACCACTACTCTAGATCATAAGTAGAGAGTATGCTGTTGGACTGCACCTTCAATTAACCCTGGCCAGCACAGCCAATGGTGAAAGGTGAAGCATGCTGCAGTCTAGTATTTTGGGAAGGCCACACAGTCTCCAGCCCTGCTCTAAATCTTTGTAGTCCAAGACCCACACTTTGTCAGAATAGCACATACATTCATTGAAAACATCTGCACAGATCCATTATCCTACCTGCCCAGCCAGTATAGCCAGTGCAGTCTCTGGGGTCCGCAGATTTCAGGCCCCTTTCCATCTGCTGGAGAAGCTCCCTGATTTTATTGTTCAGGTGCTGAGTGAACTCAGGAGTCAGCTGTAGGTGTTAACAGAAACATTGTTATGTCTCAGATGACACACCATGGCTTACCAAGTTGCAGCAGAAGAGCCTGGCATATTGTGGTGTCAGGCACTTAGTACTATTAAAAAGAGAGCTGGGTCTCTTTTCGATTATCTCAAGAAAAGAAAAGCTGATTTACTTAGGCAGCAGTAATTTAAAAGGAGAGACAAAGCATTACTTCTGATCATCCCATACCTGAACTCATTTATTTTCGGAGAAAGGCCTGCTGATTTCTGTGAAACGTTCTTCCAAATAATCCTGAATATGAACACAGTCTTAAATATTTAAACCTACATCCCCTCTCTCAAGGATGTCTTGGTTACCCATACCTTTGTTACCTCTAGGCTACAGCACTGCTGCTCTTTCCCCTGAGGGGACCCTGAAGGCTACTCAATTTTTTTCAACAGCAACTTCTGCTAGTTGGCTATCATTTGACAAAGAAAAGGATGGAAATAGCACACTCTGAGACTCCTTGACAGTGCAAGCTGATTCACCAGAAATCTACTGCAGGGTAAGTCACTGCAGAGGACATGGGGGCGGGGAGAACACCAGCATTTGCTGTGGTAAAAATGAAAAGTCTCAAAACCCAGATACAGTTGAGTGAGTGCCAGGAACCTTAGCCAATCACTGGGCAAATAAATCTACTGCATTTCCCCTACATATTTCGGGACATGCTTCTCTAATGTGGAAGCACTGAAATGTCTGTGTTACTTTGCAAAATAATTTAGAAGATAGAGAGGATTGCACTCTAAGGCTTTGAGAGAGGTGAATCTTAGGCAGACATGAAGGGGTGAGAGGCATTCGAAGAATCTTATTGAACAGATGCAATTTATAGAAACATATATGATTTTCCCGGGGGGGGGAGGAGGTTCCACTACAGCTGGGATTTTTGAGGCACCCTGTATAAAGTCTAAAGAACAGACAGACTAGCATCCCCTAATGCTTTGCAATTGTCATGGAACTTAGAAAATTCCACCCATGTTATTTGTCATGCTGAATAGTTGTCACTGCAGAGAAAACATTCACAAGAAACAGCTATGTATACTAAAACACCTCTGAGAATTTGGATAGTTTGACTGAAGCTACCAGAATTCTAGCTGGAAGTATTTCTGGTGAATTCTAGTAGATGCAGAGGAAAAAAAAACAAAGTCTGTGCTAGAAAGCATTTGAAAAAGTGATGATGGGCTAAGGGTTTGATTCCCTTTTCTAGCTGTCCTTTTAATGCCATTAAAAGGATTGGAAAGATATAGACAGGGAGATCAAGTACAGTACACTGGTCCTGGCTGGGCTGAAAATGGACACAGTTTATCCACTGCACAAGTGAAGGCAGGGAGAAAAAACGGAAAAGTTAACAAAAACTCAAGTCACATATAGATACTATAGTATCCGTTTGTAATATGATTGATAGTCCAAAATAAAGTTTTGTCATAAAATAAAAAACACACAAAAACATACAGATACTATAATACTACACAATCCATATTTAATTCCTACCACCATACCTTTGAAATAGTATCTCTTCTGGGTTTTATGTTGGGAAACTGAAGCTGAGATACGAACTTGCTTGTCAAAAGAATTTGATTTTCCATTCAAACACTGATTTACTGTCTTTGAGATGCCATCTTTCAAACTGTCACTGCCTTTAATGTCATGGTAGTCACTGGAAATATGGTTCCATTGCTGGGATCTCCCTGACCCAGGAGGCAGTCCTGGCTTTAAAAGGAGTCACAGTCAACCCATCCCAGGTGACGCTGGGCTTCTTCTATTACTCAGGTGCAGAATAGAGCCATATGGCAGCAGCTTCAACACTAAAACACTGAAAGAAATCCTTGAAATATTACTTCCTAAGGGCTGAATATGAAACGGGAAGCCATGTATATTCATTCCTCCCTTCTTTTGCACTATTCATTGTATAAAACTGTATATGGACATTGTACTTTTGACAAGAGAAGGTACATGGTGAAAGGGGATCTAAACCTTTCCAAAGTTCACTTGAAGGACTACAGCCTACCTGGTTTGGTACCCTTCTAACCATGGGGGTGGGGTGCCTATAGCAATGAAATGGCTGGAAAATGTTCTACCACCCTAAGCCACACATACTTTCTCAGATACATCAGTTCATTTATTTAGGTGGGCATGCAAAGAAATATGGTTAGTCCCATCAAATCTTATTTGCCCCTTGTGCGTGCAACCAAGCATGGATGATCAATTATGCAGATGAATGATTTCAGTGAGTTTCTGGGAGCAGTGTAAAAAAGGAAGAAGGAATTACATTGAGATGGCCACAAAAATGATAGTTACTTACAGTATATCCCAGTTTTTTCTCCCATATTCAGTTTCTCTGTTGTTAATCATACTATTTGAGAACATGCTATGCAAACAAGGTTATCTAACTTTTGAATCGGACAAGCATTAATCAAAAGAAGTTTGCTGTGGTTTAGTCAAGCTGCAAGAGTTTATTATTTGTACCATAATTTATTTATTTCCCTAAAGACACACTTGAATTCCTTTATAAAACACAGAAAAGTCTGGCACTGAAGTTGAGCATCAGGAAATCAATGAACTTGCAAGCTGTGGTAAAACTCTTCCAGACCGCTCCATCCCAACAGATTAATTCTCTCAGCTGTACATCACTGAATCAGCAAAGCATCCTGCAGAGCTACACTGCACATGAATGCCAAACGTGAAAGTAACGCAGCATCAGGCATGAGGTTTGCAGGTGGGATGGATCTCCAACATAGCTCTGGGCCCTAGGAGCCTTAGAGCACAGTTATCTCCAAGAGGGCAGCAAAAGGCCTCATAATTCAAGCACTGCACGGTATAAACAAGCTATTAGAAAATGCTATTTTCTTAAGGGTGGGGGGAGTACGCTGTATATATGAGTGACTGTCTGAGTTCAGTTCTTATTAGGGATCCAATGAATTAATTTTGTACAGAGCTTTAAGCTCAGACAACAATGGAGGAATTAGGACAACCACCTGGCAGATATCCTTTGATTTTTATTCTTCCACTGAGCAGGGAGTTGAACTTGATGGCCGTATAGGTCCCTTTTAACTTCATGGTTCTATTCATATAGATTTTTAATTTGGTTCTGGCCTACAGAAAGTGAACTATCTAAAAAAATAAGTGTTCTTACTGCACTGTTTAAGATATTAATGACCTTATTATGCTGAAATGTGGACTACAGGATCCTTGATCTTTGGTCCAGCAACAGCAGCTCTGGGACATGCAACATCAAAAAGAAGCAAATGCCATTCTGAACAAAGGGAATCCAATGTTGTCAAACTGCATATAATTCTCTTTATATCTCCATCTGCAGGCATCATAAAGACTCAGCATACCACATTTTTTCCCAGCAAAGTTAGCAGCACTCACTATCCAAGCCAAAAGTGCTGTGAAAATTTAGACTATTATAGTTAAAGTTGAAGTACGTGTTCTGCCCAAGGGGAGACTCTAGCTTTCCTGGGCATGTTTTCATACCACACCTTTCTCCAAAGACAAGTCAGTTCTTTGCACCTTACCTTCCTGTGTTACTGAAATATGCCAGTCAAGAGATTAAAAAAGTGGTAGTCCGCATTCTGAGATGGGCCCTGGCCACACTGAAATGGGCAATACTGATTGAACTTGGGAAGGAAAAAAGGAAGAAGGAAAGAGAACTGTTTTTCAAATGGAGTTAAAGGGGGCTGTTGAGAGGGCAAATTCTAAACCCCTTCTCCCCAGTCAAGACAGAACCATCAACACCATAGCTACAATATATACTACTACTAGCACTGCCTGCCAATGTTTAAATTCAGCCGGCAATCTCATATTTTTCACAGACTCATTTCTTCCTCCTGCATCCATATTTCAGCTAAACTTTTGGAACCATTTTCACATACTACAAAATTACATTTCTCTGATTCAGCACTTAAGGCTGCGACTCAGCGTAATTAATCAAAGAGGCTTTGAACTTAATCCAGGTATATGAAGAAAGCTTGTTTTTCCTTACTGCACAACACTCCCAATGTAATCACTCTTGCCTGCCTGCCTCTGAAGATATTCCAAGATCTTTTGGAAACTTGCAGAAAATGTAGTAACAGCACCATACTAGTGATAGCTACATCATGCTGCTTGCTGTATATCAATTCTGGAAGGTTGGATGACAGGTTCCCATCTCCAGCTGGAAGTATAGTTTTCTACACTGAAAAAACACAGATGGTCCAAAAGGATAAATATGCTTATTGCAGGGAAGGAAGTGCATCTAAGAACTCCTCTTCTGGACAGCTTTGCTCTTTGCCTTCAGAATAAATATTTTATTTTCTTAAAAGTTCAAGGCTATGTTTTTTTTTAAAAAACAGGACTGCAGAGGACCAAGTAATGTTTCATGCTGAGTGTGAAAGGTGTGAGTTGCCATATTAGCGTTTCACGGCCATGTGAGCAAGTAAACCAGGGCAGCGAGCGCAGCCATCCCTGCCTGTCCTCTCAAGGAACCCGTCCATTTCTGTAAAAGCAAAAGTGAAAAGGGCAGCACCAAAACTCACCCTCCCGGAGGAGTCAAAGTATCCTGTGGCCAAGGATTTGTCATAGTCTGCAAATGGATTCGGAAAGGCTCTCTGGGCCATCATGACCAACGAGCAAACCTGCCAGTCTAAAAAAAAAAAGGAGGAGGAAAGGAGGCAAGTCAAACAAAACCTGACCCCAGGAACAGCTGCACCCCCTTAATCATGGCCACACATCCGAGAAATGGCGGTGGCGGCTACCGCCTTGCCAGATGGCAAAAGCTACACAGAACTGAAGTGATTTTTTTGACACCAAAAGCAGCCTCGATGGCAAGTCGCTCGCTAGAGCCCCGGTTGGGGAGGCGGGGGTGGATCTGCCAAGGCAGCGCTCCAAGCAAGCCCGAGGCTGAGAGAGATGCAGTTACGCGGGGCCCGCCACAACAAGCCCCACCCGCCCACTCCCACAGCGAGGAGACCAGAATGAGGGGGACGCCATTTCCACAGCCGCCACCCCCCTCCCCTCCAACCCCCCCCTCAACCCGCGCTCCACGCGCCCCGCTTCTTACCCTGCGACAAGAGACAACAGCTGGCCAACGGTAACCTCCCTCCACTTCCTGCAGGCGCCGGCCAATCAGGGCTCGGCTGGGCCGCGTCCGTCCGCAACACACCTCCGGCTCCTTAAAGGGACAGCCCACGCTTTAAACTCAGCAAGGCGATGCTGCTGGGCCGAGAGGTGGGGGGGTACCTGGGCAGCGTCTGTTGGGCTGGAAGGGACGGCTTCACTCTCTCCCTCCCTCCCTTGCGGTGTCGGAGTCACCGCGCGCTCGGACGGCGGGCGCTTTGTTGCCGTTGTTATGCGGTTGTCTTCGATTTGCGGCAACCCTAGGTCACATTGCGATCCTAGGTTGGGGGCGTGGCAGGATTTCAGAAGAAAACGAGCCCGGCTCTTATAGATTGGAGTCGAGCCCTTTTGACAGGGTGGTGATCGTTTTGAAAGAAATAGGGGCGGCCTAACGTTTGGCTGGCCTGCTGCATAGCCTACACCATGGAGAGAAGAAAGAAGCTATGATTCAAACAGTGTACAGAGAAACCGAATGTTTTCCCAAAGGCAAAGGTATCAGAGAAGAGTGTATGCTATCTCCCTTTCTCTTAAGTATGGTAATATCTTCGTTGCAAAACCTTGAGCATCACTTTGCCTGCAGTGGTCCTATTATAATTTCCCATGCAGGCAAACTGATGCTCCACATGTTGCAATGAAGACTTTTACCATATATGAAATGAGAAATACCCGATGCTCAGGCTGGATTCCAAAATGGAAGAGACCTTAGAGACCATACTGTTACTGGAATGCACCAAAAAAATTCAGAAGATCAGCCTGTGCTTTATGGACTACAGCAAAGCCTTTGGCTGTGTGGATCATAAGAAGCTATGGGTAGTTCTTTAAAAAAAAAAGAGTGTGCCTCAGTGCTTCATTGCCTTGGTGCATAACCTACTCACTGGAGAAGAAGCTAGTGCCAGGACAGAATATGGAGAAACAAGATGGTTCTCAGAATGGTTTCCCATAGCCAAAGGTGTGACACAAGACTGTGTTTTATCTCCTTTTCTGTTCAACCTCTGTGCAGAACATATAATATGTAAAGTTGGATTAGGTCCAGATGAAGGAGAGGTGAAAACTGTTAAAGGAGCATCAATAATCTATAGATATGCAGATGGCACCTTTTTACTAGCAGAAAATAGCAATGACTTCATATGACTTCTGATGACAGAGAAAGAAGAAAGTGCCTACTGAAATGTCAAGGTCAAAATCATGACTACTGAAAAACTACACAACTTTAATGTTCACAATGAGAAAAATTGTGTTGTTAAAGATTTTTTATATCTTGGTTCAATCAATCCAAATGGAGACTGCAGCCAAGAAATCAGAAGAAGATTGAGAGCTGGAAGGGCAGCAGCGAAGGAATTGGATCATCAAGCTTAAGAACATGTCAAAGGGTACCAAGGCCTAGATCATTCACAATTACTGTGTATTTGAAAGCTGGACAGTGAAGAAAACTGGGGGTGGTGGCAGGAAAAATAATTAATTTGAAATATAGTGCTGGAGAAGAGTTTTGTGGGTACCCTGGATTTCCAGAAAGACTAACAAATGGCCTTAGATCAGATCAAGCCTGAACTCTCTAGAAGCAAACATGATGAAAATGAGGCTTGTAATACTTCAGGCACATCATGAATAGACTCTGCACCATGGCAATTGATGTCCCAGTCATGGGAAAGGATGAAGGCAGCAAGAAAAGAGGAAGACCAATTAGGAAATGGATTGACTCCATAAAAGAATTCACAGCCTCAAATTTGTAAGACCTGAGCATGGCTATTAATGACTGTACATTTTGAAGGCCACTCATTTGTAAAATTGCTATAAGTTGGGAGACAACTTGACAGCATACAACAATCTGTTCAAACTATGTGGAACATATCATATGAAAAACTGGATTAGATTCAGATGAAGTGAGAAGTGACAGTGGAAACATCAATAATTTAAGATATGCAGATGGCACCATATTGCTGGCAGAAAGTAGTGATGACTTGAAAACTATTACTGATGATGAAAAAAGATAGTGCAAAAATGGGATTAAGAAGTAAAAAACCATGATTATCATAGAAATAATAGAAAAGTGAAGTTGGAAGGGGCCTACAAGGCCATCAAGTCCAACCCCCTGCTCAATGCAGGAATACAAATCAAAGGATATCTGCAAGGTGATTGTCTAAGTTTTTCTTGAATGCCTCCAGTGTTGGAGCACTCACCAATTCCCGAGGTAACTGGTTCCACTGTCGTACTGCTCGAACAGTTAGGAAGTTTTTCCTGATATTCAACCAAAATCTGGCTTCCTTTAACTTGAGCCCATTGTTGCGTATCCTGCAGTCTAGGACGTTCGAGAACAGATCTTGTCCCTCCTCTGTATGACAGCTTTTCAGATATTTGCAAAATACTATCATATCACCCCTCAGTCTTCTTTTCTCAAGGCTAAACATGCCCAGTTCTTTCAGGCTTTCCTGATAAGGCTTGGTTTCCAGCCCCCTGATCATACAAGAGGATAACATGACATTAATGATGACAATGTAGGAATTGAACATATTCAGTATTTTCTATATCTCAGTTCAGTTCTCAATCCAAAAGGAGACTGCAGCCAAGAAAGCAGAAGAAGACTTGAACTTGCAAAGGCAGCTATGAAATCCTTAAGTATGGGGTCCCTCAAGGTTCTGTTTTGTTTCCTATGCTATTTAACAGCTATATGAAATGAATGGGAAAGGTTCTGGAGTTTGGGGGTTTGGTGTCACCAGTATGCAGACGACACCCAACTCTACCTCTCCTCACCATCTAAATCTGAGGAAGACTATCAGTAATGGACTGGAAGAGGGTGAATAAACTGAACCTTAATCCAGACAAGGCAGGATTAACTGGTCAGTTGAAAGGCAGAGGGTTGCAGCCTGTGCAGGATAGGTTTACACTCCCTTGGAAAAGACATGTGCGCAGCTTAAGGGTGCTCCCGGATTTGTTTCTGAGTTTGGATCCTCAGGTTTCAGCAGTGGCCGGGAGTGCCTTTTCACAATTAAAACTAGTGTGCCAGCTGTTGCATATTCCTGGAAACATCTGATCTCTGGCCATGGTAATACATTAATTAGTTTCATCCCAGTTGGATTACTGTAACACGCTTTATGTGGGGTTGCCTTTGGAAAGTGTACAGAAACTTCAGCAGATCCAAAATATGGCAGCCAAATTGCTAACGGGCTGATTACAGGGATCACATAACCCCCATTTCAGCAGCTCCATTGGTAGCCCATCCATTTCTAACCTCTAAAGCCTTAAACAGCTTTTGGATCCAAGCTATCTCAAGAGCCTTTTCTCCTTTTATGAACCTGCCCTGGTGTTACGATCAAGAAGAGAAGCCTTTCCCTCAGTCCCATCACCTTTACAGGTGCACTTGGTGGAGGCACAGGCCTTGTCTGTTGCTGCTCCCAGACCTTGAAACTGCCTCCCACAGGAGGCCAAGCTGGCCCCATCTTTACTGTCCTTCCGCAAACAGGCAAAGATTTTTCTCTTCAGGCAAGCTTTCCCTTAATAACTGGCTCCCTCAATAGGTTTTAATTAGACGGTTGTGCCTTAGTGGTGTGAATGTGTTTTTTGGTGGTGCTTTGTCTGCCATCTTTTAGTATGGCATTTATTTGATGCTTTTTAGTTTCTGTATATTTATTGTTTTTAGCTTTTAATATTGCCTGCTTAAATTCTGTAAGTTGCTTTGGGTCCTTTTTAAGGAGAATTGGGGAGGGGAAAGAGAACGAACGAACGAATAATGTTCTCTGAAGAGCAAGGCCAAGATGATCCATACTAGGATATTCTCTATTGCTGAACTGACAATAAAGAATAATGATGAGGAAAATTTGACCAATAAAAATGCAGTGTTGGAGGAGAGCTTTGCCATTACAATCAGCCACCAGAATAACAAGTTGGTCCTAGATAGAATCAAGCCTGAATTCTCTTTGGAAGTAAAAATCACTAAATTAAGATGATGCTACTTTGAGCACATCATAAGAAGGCAAAATTCACTAGAAAAGACAATAATGCAAGGGAAAATGGAAAACTAGGAAACAAGGAGTACTTCATGTGAAATAGATTGATTCAATAAAAGGACTAGGGCTTTTAGTTTGCAAGACCTGAGCTGGGCTGTTAGTGATAGGATCTTTTTTTGGAGGTTAAGGCAGAGGGTCACCTTAATTCAGAAGTGACCTAACAGCAAATGATAAGTGGTCTTCTACACCTTCAAAACAATTTTTATTCACTAGGGCCAACACATATTCAGAGAAATCTGTCTCCACAAAGAATGCTCCCTCGTGTGGCAAAAAAGCTATAACAGTGAAAACATACTAAAAGGAGAAGCACGTGCGTCACTGGGATTATCTCCAGAGCGTAAACAACAAAGTCTAACTCCAGATTCCCATGTAACAAAACAGATTATGTTGCTGTGAAGAAAACTGTTAAAAAAGCGTCATCCATTTTACTACAATTATAGTAATTGTAGTAAGATCCTGAGTTGATCCTGATCTTCAAAGAGGGAGCTGTGTTATTCTGTTCCACCAAGTACAATGCAAGCACCACAAAAATAGACACAAGTACTGTGGCACCTCAAAGATTAGCAAATTCATTTCAGTGCAAGTTAAATAAATATGTTAGTGTTTGAGGTGCTGCAATACTTTTGTTTTAATTTTGTTTTGTTTTCTTATCCATGTATACCCGGCTGTTTCATTTGCCAGCACTGATTCCAACTCTTTGCCCAGCGGCACTGGGGCTATTGTGGGTAGTCCCCTTTGTGTGAGACAGTTTTGAAGCTGCACTAACTTCTACAAAGCTCAAAAACTCAGTCTCTCATATGCTCAGCATAGGAATAGAAGACTGCACAACTCCT